ATCAGAAAGCTGCAGATTTTTCTCCAATTCATCCAAAACCGCCCTCCCACCCGCGTGTATGCAAAAGTGCTCGAACGCCAGCTTGAAGTCGGGGATGTAAGGCTTAATCTTCTTCATCTTCAGCATCTTCCGAGCGACCAAAGTTGCAAAGAAGAGCAGCTGCTCAGACATGGGTAGGACCAGGGGACCCAGGGTGGTAATATTCGTCTTCAGGGCATCCCCTGCCACTGCCATAAGTTCTTTCGAGAGAGAAACCCCCACTTTACCGTCCTCGTCCTCATGTTGTGTGATGCAAGCGAAGCATTTGTCATCCGAGCCTTTGTGGGTCCGGACCGTATGTACCAACTGGTATTTGGACCGCCTCCGGTCACGGCTCTTGTTTGAGAGCAGAATTGCGGACCCACCCATCCGGAACAAACAGTTCGGGAGAAGCATTGACTTCTTGTTCCCAAAATACCAATTCAATGTGATGTTTTCCATGCTGAGTACCAAAGCATAGGTGTTTGGGTGGACCTGAAGGAGATCCTTGGCGAGATCAATGGAGATCAAACCGGCACTACAGCCCATGCCCCCAAGGTTATAGCTAACGATATTCCCGCGAAGCTTGTAGTGGTTCACAATCATAGCAGACAAGGAAGGGGTCGGATTGAACAAACTGCAATTCACGACTAAGATCCCAATATCTTTGGGGTTAACACAGGTTTTTGCAAGAAGCTCATCGATGGCGCCAAACATGACGGTCTCGGCTTCTTTTCTGGCTTCTGCCATGCAAGGGTTAGGTGGCACCCTCAAGACAGCTTCGGGAAGGTAAGTCGATTCGCCGAGACCAGATCGTTCTAGAATCTTCCTCTGGAACTCAAGGTTATCATCAGAGAACGATCCCGTCAAGCGGGACCTCTCCATGAAAATCTGTCTGGTGCACTTCCTGGCCTCTTCGGGTTTATAACATGAGAAATTCACTAGGTAGACTGGGCGGGGACGGGTGAGGAAATAAAGGGTGGATAAGAAGACTAAAAGGGTTGAGCAAATTATGACGGAAATGAGATTGAATCTTAGATGATCCCATAGAACACAGAGATCTCTCAGGGAGAATGTGGATAGCTGGGCTGCAATAACCACTACAAGGGGAGATAAACATAGGTACATCCCATGGGTTATGAGGTAGTGGTAACCTAGCTTCACATACTTCAATTTCACAGATTGTTTGAAATCAGGCAGCTTTCTTGATGATGACGACGATGGAGCTGCTGCATTCATTCTTGGATTCAATTTCAATTTCCTGCAAGCGAACACACAAATATAAAAAACACTGCTGTGTTTATCAATCCACTGTTTTAGTCAAAATTCAAAAGAGTTCCCAAAAAGGGGGGAGAATCCACTCAATCCAAGATCTGGGCAAAGTTGCAATTAAAGAAATTCCAGATTAAAGAACGGATCTAACGATAGAAATCAAACATGATTCTCTTTTTTAAGGTATAATAAATAAAAGTGATGGGTATTTAAGAGCAATTAACTCCTCACCAAACTAAAAAAGTTTTCTTCAGCCATGAATCTCATGACCGTACCAATGGAAAGAGTAAATATGTTCCAGATTTTTTACAGGAGCTTGTATTTAAGAAGAAAAACAACATAAATAAATCGGTAGATAGATTTTCTCAAGGATTTAATGTGAAACATCAGCATTGGCATCCGGGTGAAGATCCGATGCAGAAACCATAACCACAAGGAAATAAACATACCCAGGAAAAAAAGTATAACAGAGAAGTTAGGAAAGAGCGAGATGAGAAAAGAGAGCAACCTGGGTGGAATGCAGAAGCCCACGAGGAAGCGGGCAGAGAGAAACCTAAAGGAAATGAGAGTTGTGGTCCGGTCTGGTCTGCCAGAAATGTATAAAATGGGTGCATGGGATGGAAGTGTGAACTCGTGATTCTATTATTCTGTCTTCGGTGTACGCTCAAATGTGGGACCCTTTTACTGGTTAGCTCTGTCAAATCCCCATCACCAGAACACCAAAATGGCCGGAAAACATAACATGGTTCCTCTTTTTTACGGAAAAGTCTTCTATTCAAATACGGAGTCAAAAAATATACACCTTTGTCAAACAGACTACTGGGTATTGTAAAGGTTAAAAAGTTACCGTTTGTTGACCATCTTCCTCCCTCTCACCTCCATCTCTCTCACAATATTTTTACTCCACCAAATTGGCTTAGCTCAACTTGTAGATATGAGTGCTATAAAGAATAATTTCCGGAGTTCGAATATCGATAATTGCGATGAGAGTTTACTATATAAAAATGCATGGAGCTTCTGTAAATATTTGAGTCAGAGCCTCACTCATTATCTGTTAACATTTAATTAAGTCCGTAGCTCAACTTGTAATCCTTTTTTATTTAATTGGAAAAATGGAAACTAATAATCCAACCTTTTAGTGGTATTCTTATAATAGTCCCACCTTTTGATTATTCATGAATAATCCAACTTTTGCACCTCATCTTCATTCACTGGTCCCTGGCCGGTTGATGACCTGCTATTCCAAGTTATTTTCTTATCTTTGTAAACCATTATACCATAAATCTCACCTTTCACAGAGATAATATTTTGCAAAGATAAGAAAATAACTTGGAATAACAGGTCATCAACCGGTCAGGGACCAGTGAATGAAGATGAGGTGCAAAGGTTGGATTATTCATGAATAATCAAAAGGTGAGACTATTGTAAGAAGACCGCTAAAAGGTTGGATTATTAATTTCCATTTTCCCTATTTAATTTGTAATTTACTACAACAACGACATCCAACCCTTAATTCCAAAAGATTTTGGAGTCGGATAACATTTAATCGATTCATGATATTAGTCCTAAAAAAAGAATATAAGGGGGAAAAGTAAGATAAAATGGATAAGATAAAGATAAATATAAGATAATAATAATAACATAAGAATATAAGAAAGATAAAAGATAAAAAGGCATAAAAAGATGGAAGATAAAAATACATAAGAACATAAAAAGATAATGGAGATAAACGACAAAAGAAAAAAGAGAGGGCAGATAGAAAAGACATCACTCGTCCACACGAACGTGTGCCCTCCACTTTGCTTTCTCCAAAATCATACTCTCATTCAACCCAAGAAGACGCATATCAGTTCTAATTCCTCTAATTCAAGTCTGTTTCGGTCTTCATATCCCTCTCCTCCCTACCTCTTCTCTCCTCCTCTCAAGTCGTCTAACAAGTGCATCACTCAGTCTTCTACGCACATGATCAAACCACCGCAAACAAGACTTCAACTTCTTATCTTCTATAGGTGTCACTCCCACCTTTTGTCTGATGATCTCATTTCTCAAGCGGTCTTTTCTTATATGTCCACAGATCCATCGCAATATACGCATCTCTGTCACACTCATCTTTTGAATATGACCTTGTTTCACCGTCCAACACTCAACACCATACATTAATGCATGCCTAATTGTTGTTCGATAAAATTTACCCTTTCATCTAGTCGGCATGCCTTGATCGCATAGAAATCCTGATGCACTCTTCCGTTTCATTCATCCAACTCTGATTCTATGGGATACATCTTCATATAATTCACCATCCAGAATTATGGAGCTCAAGTAACAAAATATATCACGCACCGATAGTACATTTAATTCGTGATTTACTAAAAGTTATTTAATATATACGTAGTACATGTTTACTTCAAAAAATGGTATATTTATTCAAACATTATTTAAAATTAAAATGTCAATTATAATTTTCAAAAAAAATACCTCCTCCTTCTTACTTACTACCACTCCCACCCACCCTCTTACCACCAACCAACCCCGCCACACCTTCCCAGAGTTAGGAAGGAGGTGGCGGTGAGTGAGATAGAGTGTAGAGGGTACTCTTTTTGGCAGGGGGAGGGGGGCTCCGGATATCCTTATTGCGGGATTCTTTAGAATTTCTTTATTTCAGATATATTTAAAATTGGGTTGGGTTCGGTCTCCCCAATATTCTTTTTATTTTTGTCTCTTTAATTTATTTTCTTGTATTCTAAAGGGAAATGCCCTTTCTGAAGAGGTTTTGATCTAGTCCCCTTCTTGTACTTTCTATTTATTTTAATAAATTCTGGCAAAGCTTCCTCAACTTTTGCCCCACCGGCAAAGATAATTTGCCTATCGAGTTTAAAAAAGAGTGGGGCCTCCCTACATGTGTATGTGCGCGCGCATGCTTGTTCATGTGTGTGTGTTAAACAAAACAGTTTGCAAAGATACAACGGATGTGAGCGGAGGAAAAAAAATAAAAGATTTAAAGTTTATCACTCGCGATTTATCCAATCTAACGGGTGTGATTGATTTGTTACGCATTTTAAGTCTCTGGAAGTCTGATTTCTCTCTCTCCACACACACACACACACTCTCCGTATTTAAAATTTTGTTACATTTTTCTCTTTTGATAAACTTTTCTTTTTATAAATACTCAAATATATTTACCGTTTCTACCCTTTATCTTGTCTTTCATACATTTACATCTTCTCTCTTACTTTTTCTAAAGTATGGAATACACGTGGTATATAAGAGAAGGAGGAGTTGGATGAAACATAAAGCCACGGGAGAAATGATCGGAGCTAACAAATGTGGAGAATGAAAGGAGAAGGAAAAAGATAGAAAGATAAAAATAAAAAATTAGCCAGCGGGAACCCGGATCGCCATATGTGCAAATTGACTTGATAATCAAATTGTTTAGGAAAAATTGACAAGAATAATCCCACCTTTCACTGGTCTTCTTATAATAATCCTACCTTTATATAATTCCAAAATAATCCCACCTTTGCACCCCATCTTCTTTCATTGGACCCTGACCAAGTTTTTTACCTTTCTTTGAAAATCTTATATAAATAATCTCACATTTATAAAGATATAATAGATAAGTGAAAGGTGAGATTATTTATATGATTTTCAAAAAAAGAGTAAAAAACATGGTCAGGGTCCAATGAAAGAAGGTGAGGTGCAAAGGTGAGATTATTCTGGGATTACCTAAAGGTGGGATTATTATGAGAAGACCGGCAAAAGGTGGGATTATTTTTGTCAATTTTTCCAATTCTTTAACAGGCAAAAGTTTGATTTGAGCATTTTTAAGCTGATAGGCTTGATTGATTTATTTGACAATTTTTCCTAAAGATAAAAATACAATATTTCTGTCAATTAATATATTCAACCGTGAGTATGCATAAAACATGCGAGTACATATTCTTCATACCTGAATCATTCAGGCCGAATGGATCAAAATTGTGTTTCTTCTACAATACTAACTCCTCATAATACAGTTTTCTTACAGGAGAGTCAAGAACGAAAAACAACTGCATTCCCATGAAAAGAATAGCCAACAGCCAAGAACGAGTTTTGGAAACTCTATGACTAGAAAATCTGAAGCTATTTATTTGCCTGGGTTTGGGCGATGAATTTGGTCACAACGTAGCAATCTGGGGGTGTAATGTTTGTGTAATAATTTTGGATGGTCTCTGTAATCCCAAACCCAAATTTTTGGTAAAATTTGATGGCATCATCGTTATTTGTCTGGACGTGCAAGTAAATCTCACTCATATTTTGTCTAGCACAAAGATCAAGCACATGGTTCAACAGCTTTGAACCTGCAGATAATTGATTAAAAGATTAATCTTGAATAAACAAAAAAAAAACACTTGAATTTACCAATAATAGTTCAATCATTTGGTTCATTTTTCTTTCCTCAGTTCGTCATCGAAAATTTATCTTAGTTCTACAATAACTAATTTAGTCCCTAGACGATCACTTATATATACTACATATTACTTGGTTTGAACTTGAACCGTCTTTTGGACACAACTTGGTCCTCGACTATGCAACTTGGGCTCAATTTAGTCCTCATACATTTATTATCTATAATTAAGAAGGGCATTTTCATATCTTTCGGACTAGATTGGGTCCAAATTACATAGTTGAGGAAGACCAAACTAAGTCCGACATCAGGTCAAGATTTAGGATGCTTTTAATTGGTTGAAATTTTCTGATCTAATTTGGTTTGATCTGGTGTGTTTAAGTCTGGCCTGGTATGATAGATGTGATAGCTGTTGTTCAATGTGTATTTTTCAATTGTCAAAGTCTGGTATGATCTGGTCTCATTAAGTATAATCTAGGACTGAAATTAGTCCAATTAAAAACATCTTTAGTCTACATACAAATATACAATTCACATTCAGAACCAAATATGTTCAAGGATTACATTGAGTCTGAATTTATTGAGTCCTAATTGAGTTAATATTTAGTGAACTAAAATACTAAACTAGACACATGTACAACTACAAGGGTACAACCAAATACGTATAAGGAGTACATTGGGTCTGAAATTCATAGTTGAGGACTACATCAAGTGCAATGAAATTTGAAAGACTAAATCATTTATAAGCACCAAAAAGTAAAAAAGCTAACATTCGAAGAAATCCCCCGACGAGAGGCAAGTAAATATTGAGTACTCTAGTAAAGAGATGTTTATAGTTTTGTACTCAGGCTAAGACTACACCAAAAAAGATCCACATCAGACCAAAAATATTATTCAATCTTATTTCAATCGGACAAGGCCAAAAATATTGGGGCTACACCACAAAGATTCGAATCAGACTAGAAAGAACGATACATCAAGTGATTATATTTCAGACAAGATAATTCGACATAAAGATTAAGCCATACAGTCCATACCCAATCAGACTACAAATGTTAAGACACCAGCCACTAATTCAGACCAGAAACACTTAAAACCACACCAAACCAGATATTTAAAAGTTCATATTAGACAAGCGAAGAGAAATTCTCTTCGCTTGTCCAACCCCACGATGTTTTTTGTCTTCGTTTTGATAAGTGAAAAAGGCGAATTGAGAAAGTGAAATAGGCACTGTAAAAGTTGATCAAGTCCACAGTCAAAAGAATAATCTCAACCCTGCTGTTTCACCTAAAATAGGCTCTTGATTTAATTTAAGCACATCAGTAAAAGAGAGAAGTACATAATGAGTGGTTGATAATATATAGATTGCTTACCCACACCTAATCCACGATAAGGAGCCAAAACACCCAATGTCATGATGTATACACAAACAGCACCTCCTTCCTTTTTCTCAAGCCGACATGCAATTGCACCAACACAAATGTCACTGTAGTATGCTGCATGAGACAAAACAATAGAAAATGCAAATATATTCAGCATTTAAATGAATACTTTACTATGCGGCAAAATCTTAATTATCTAATATATATAAAATATAAAAAGAATTCTCTATTCGTACAATTATGCTATTTAAAAAATGTAGTAACACTTATTATCTACTATTTATAATCTCATTCATTCTTCAAGCAGTGAAAACAAACTGAAAGTCCAAATATCTCAAGCATTATATGTTTGTCTCACCCAAATAAATTTTTATTTAGCGAATTGATGAAGTTGTCAGATTGTTAAGTCATTTCCCCACCACTGCCAGCTTAATCCCAACTAAGTTGGAGCTGGTTGGTGGTATACAGGAATGACATTTACGACATTTAAAGGGTCAATTAATTGTTAAAAAGGAATTTAATGCTATGAATTCATGCAAAAAAGACATAGTAACACATACTTCCTCCGTCCCAAAAAACTTTGTCATCTCATAAAGCTTGGACCGTGATTTTGATAAGTATAATATTATGGAAGTTATAAATTTAATACTTTTATGAAGGTATTTTTAGCAAAGAACATTTTCATATCATTTTTATGTTATAAATAATTTCCAATAAAAATATATAGTTGGTCAAAGTTTTAAAGATAAACAATTTTTTTTAGGACGAAGGTCGTATTTGTTATGTCGCATATTGAACCAATTTGGTTACTTTTTTCTCACATTAGCACCCAAATGGGACATCAATGTTACCAATGCCAACTCCAGTAAACTTATTTGAGTATACAGATGAGCATTATTCATAATCATGATTGCAAAAAATAGTGGTGAGCCATCCACCAACCACCTATAATACAACAAACTACCATATAGCTTTGGATTATTCTTTCTATTAAGTTGATCTTTTAGAATTGAACTTCAGGACTTAATATAGTCTCAAAGCTAATTAATTTGCGGCGAGCAATTACATTATGGTAAGCTTCAACAACGAGCACACAAACTCTATGTTATCTAACTGGCGAATACTCATCGAGTACTCCCTACTCGTACATACACCTGACCGAGTAGCTTGCAAACTTGTTCCGTTTCAAATTCCTAAGTTAAACGCCGAAGCGCTCAACAATTTTCATGACTTGGTGATTCATTTTACACGAAGAGTGACTGGGGCATACTAACATTTAACTTTTAATTTCCTTTTTTTGAAAGATTAAAACTGAAGATTGGGAATTGAAAAAAATAGTGACTTAGTTTTGGTAAACGGAAAAAGAACATAACAAAGTTTATGGTTTGGAAGTATTAACATTTAGGTTTTCACAAAACGACTTTATGTCTCGGTGAGTTCTTCATGTCTTCAACTTTTTTCCACTTCTTAACTTCAACTTCTTACTAGGAATTTTTGTTAATATACATTAATGTATAAGTAATTTGCAGTTCTTAATGCAGTGGTAAATTCTTCTGAGAAGTCTTATTAGGATTTATTTAGGATATGAGAGTTGATTAGATGATGGGCCCAATGTTGCCAATCCCAGATAGCAGAGTAGAACAGCCTACCACAAAAACGCTATAGCGGTATAGCTGATAGTTGGATGACTGCTATTCATACACCTTTTATGCATACAATTACTACATTTGATACATATAGTACATTTGATACATATAGTATCCAGAAAATGATAAGTGTTACTTAGTCTCAATCTTCATCATATTTATATATTCTAGAGTACCAATAAAAAGATCTGAGTCTTGAAATCCTAAATCTAATGTGACTCTTCTTGTCTTTTAAATCTTTGAAACTATCCCACTGCAAAGCTAGGTACAGATTATCTCCTGTAAGCTTTTGTAAGCTTCAGAAGGAGACTTAGAAGAGCAGAAAGTATAGGAAGAAGAAAAGTTGGAGACGAACGTAGTTGTGGCTGAGTTGCGCCAGTAGTCCTTGAACAACCATAGAAGAAACGAGATATATTTTCAAAACTGGGATGAGTTTTATCACTTTTATGCCTTAGAAGGATTATAATATTGTTACTTTTTATTTTAAAAAGCCTACTTTACCCCTTTAAAACTGATATATGCAAAAATATCCCAAAAGATCTTGTGCAGACCATCCAAATTTCAGTAGTGCCGCTATAGCGTCCGCGACAACCACTACTGCGCCCGCTATAGCAGCCGCTATAACCGCAACAGCCAACCGATCCACTACATAGAGTCACTGGATGGCCACAGGGCGCTATTGACATCACTGGATGGGTCTTTTTTTAAAGGCACTGGATGGGTCTTTATAAAATGATTATGAGTTATACTAATTGTTATGAATTACTTCCTCCGTTACTTTTTAATTGCAACAGTCAACATTTCACGTTTGCCAATGCACAAGTTTGACCATTAATATCTTTCATACCGTATTAGTAAAAATTTTGAAAAATTCATTTTTTGAAAATTTACAATGAGAAGAATTTAACAATATTTTTTAAAAATTGAATTTTTAATACATTAATAAATAAAATATAGTCAAAGTAGAATATGTGAATAGTGCAAAAAGTCCAATGTTGCGATTAAAAGAGAACGGAGGTAGTATTATATTCTGATTTGTATACACTTATTAAACATATATTACTAATAAATTTTGAAACAGACGTAGTATTACAAAAAGTTAGTAATATGACCATCATTTGCAATGAAGCCAAAGACTCACTATTTTTTGGCTTGGGAATATGATGGAATAAAGCAAAATGGCTCACTATACTATCTGTGTTTCTTTGTTATGAAAGAGCAGTCGGTCCATGCAATTTTGACGCGATTTTCACTATGGATCATCCGGAAACAGTCTCTCTGTGCTTCAGTACAGGGGTAAGATTGCGTACATCCGACCTCTCCTTACCCCAACGTAGGTGGGAGCCTTTGTGGCACTGGGGTAATGATAATGATGATGATTAAAAAAAGTTAGTAGAGGATCGAGTCATCACCAAGTAATTGGTCCTACACTCCTACTCCTACTTTGCCCTTGACCGAGTAGCCACTGAGTACTGATTTAACTTACTACAACAAATCACCAACTTGCAGGGTATGTGTGTTGTTAAATAGAGGCCACGTGTAACAATACAAATCAACGTATACTCCTGTGTTGAACTTTTAGCAACTAGGCATAACCAGTAAAAGTCTACCAATGTAGAGTATATAGATATGGGCTTCAATAACATAATGTGTGTGTGGATACAAAACATGGCAAATGGAAAAGAAATAAAAATCCTTGGCAAACAGAGGATAACTGGAAGCATTAAAAAATAGTTTAAGACATCCAGAAATCGCTACATTTAAGTATTAGACACTATCCAACATTAGCAAGTCATAACTTTTTTTTCTAAAACAGCAAGTCAGCAACATTAAAAAGAAGCCCTTAATGACTTTATGCACATTTATAAATTTAGTATTCTTTGTACCCAAGAAAATAAATTTAGGAACTAAGGAATACCATTTGTATTACTGAAAAGTGAAAAGTGAAAACTTATATCCATATAATGAGCAAAGAGACGCATAAACTGAGTGTAAACTGAAAACCGTAAGCAATAGTTGCTAGAACACAGTCCCATTTACAGGAAGACTACCTGCCTTATTAGACAAATAAGGAACAAATTGGAAAACTGTATTGACCATACAATGTTATATTAACATACATATACTCCTAAATTCTTTATACCGGTTTGAGAACAGAAATATCATACAAACCCAGAAGCGTGATCGAATAAAAAACAAAGATTTGTTTTTATTGTCCCTATCCCAGTAAAGAAAGAAGAAAATCAGGCTTCATGAAGGGCGAAAATACTCGAAAAGGAGAAAGAGCTGACCTAGCTTGGTGAATTCCCCGGAAGCGAGTGCATCGGTGTAGTACTTGTCGTTGTAGCGAACAGGGAAGAGGGCGGTGTTGAGCTTCTTCAGCTGCATCAAATTCTTGTCCCTAACACTATCCAATGAGATTGCCATATCACGTCCCAGTTCTTTACTTTTTTTAGAACGTAGATATGGCTACGCGTTAATATAGACAAAACTTAGTGGCTGGCCGGAGAGAGCTTAAGACTGAGCACGGACGGGAAGGATTTTGAGCAGCCGTCTGCACACACTCTGATCGACCGGCAAAGGAGAGTGGAGCAGCGCGTGGGTTTGCAACGCATAATAGTGGGCAGTTTTTGGCCCAATTCGCGGGGTAGATTAAGCCCTGCTAAACAAGGTATTCAAATGAAAGAATAGGGCTAGGCGCGGTACGGAATAGTCTGGTAAATTGGTAAAATCTGTAATGTATCCGTGAGGTTTTTAACGGTTTGGTACGGTCCGTTCGGTATCATGTCATTTCAGAACGGTATAAAATGGTACGGTACAATGTCAAACACATGCTAAATTTTTTGAACAAATCTTACAATTAGTAGATATCATCATACCAACCAACTCACATAAAATGTTGATATAAATACAAGAAATTGCATATGTAGTACTAAAATTCACAAATACACAAATAGTGCAACATAACTAAGAAAAGTATAGCAAAACGATGACGCACGAGATAAATATCATCTTTAATTTACTAAGTTCATGTGAAAATATAAAAACATATATCATCAAATTGTTTAATATAATAGAAATATTCAACGTTTTTCCTCTTCTCTTACAGTACAAAAGCCGCCACTCCAAGTGGCGGCTCTTCTCAAAATGATTTGCAAATCTGACTTTCCTTGGTCAAACGGTTTCATTTTATTTGCTTAATTAGGATGTCAATTTTTAATTGTATTCTAATTTGAAGTTTGCAACTTTGAAGAGAATTTGATATAGTTTCTGGATATGTAAATTTTAATTATAAAAAATTGAGTTAGTTATCGATAAGGAGAATTGACTTTTATAATTGGTTGACCAAAAAATATTGACTTTGCAAAAAAATTTGCAAAAAATATAGATCAGATCAAGCTTAGTATTTTTTACACTCATATCAGTTTGTCATATATTCTTTTGTTTCAAGCGTATTATATCTTGTTGGAAAGATCATTTTAAGTTCTAAAGCTATTGTTCTGACTCAATTTACAATGCATTAAGTAAAAAGTGCGGATTAACCTGAAATTCACAAACATTTCCGATTTAACTCTGAACACGTGCAGAAATTGATCTCATCATATTTTGATGTATTTATTAGTTCCATTTAAAGCGTTTTCTATATCTTGACTACATTTTATTTATTAATATATGTGATTTTTTTTAAATAAATATCGTCTCATGCATTACTAAGTTTCATAATCTGATTATTAATTTTTTTACTAAGTCAGAATTAAATATAATAACGATCAAAGTTGTGTATTGACAAATGTAAAAAAAATGTTGCAATTAAAAAAGAATCAAGAAAATAATAATAATAATAATAATAATAATAATAATAATAATAATAATAATAATAATAATAATAATAATAATAATAATAATAATAATAATAATAATAATAATAATAATAATAATAATAATAATAATAATAATAATAATAATAATAATAATAATAATAATAATAATAATAATAATAATAATAATAATAATAATAATAATAATAATAATAATAATAATAATAATAATAATAATAATAATAATAATAATAATAATAATAATAATAATAATAATAATAATAATAATAATAATAATAATAATAATAATAATAATAATAATAATAATAATAATAATAATAATAATAATAATAATAATAATAATAATAATAATAATAATAATAATAATAATAATAATAATAATAATAATAATAATAATAATAATAATAATAATAATAATAATAATAATAATAATAATAATAATAATAATAATAATAATAATAATAATAATAATAATAATAATAATAATAATAATAATAATAATAATAATAATAATAATAATAATAATAATAATAATAATAATAATAATAATAATAATAATAATAATAATAATAATAATAATAATAATAATAATAATAATAATAATAATAATAATAATAATAATAATAATAATAATAATAATAATAATAATAATAATAATAATAATAATAATAATAATAATAATAATAATAATAATAATAATAATAATAATAATAATAATAATAATAATAATAATAATAATAATAATAATAATAATAATAATAATAATAATAATAATAATAATAATAATAATAATAATAATAATAATAATAATAATAATAATAATAATAATAATAATAATAATAATAATAATAATAATAATAATAATAATAATAATAATAATAATAATAATAATAATAATAATAATAATAATAATAATAATAATAATAATAATAATAATAATAATAATAATAATAATAATAATAATAATAATAATAATAATAATAATAATAATAATAATAATAATAATAATAATAATAATAATAATAATAATAATAATAATAATAATAATAATAATAATAATAATAATAATAATAATAATAATAATAATAATAATAATAATAATAATAATAATAATAATAATAATAATAATAATAATAATAATAATAATAATAATAATAATAATAATAATAATAATAATAATAATAATAATAATAATAATAATAATAATAATAATAATAATAACAATAATAACAATAATAACAATAATAACAATAATAACAATAATAACAATAATAACAATAATAACAATAATAACAATAATAACAATAATAACAATAATAACAATAATAACAATAATAACAATAATAAAAATAATAACAATAATAACAATAATAACAATAATAACAATAATAACAATAATAACAATAATAACAATAATAACAATAATAACAATAATAACAATAATAACAATAATAACAATAATAACAATAATAACAATAATAACAATAATAACAATAATAACAATAATAACAATAATAACAATAATAACAATAATAACAATAATAACAATAATAACAATAATAACAATAATAACAATAATAATAATAATAATAATAATAATAATAATAATAATAATAATAATAATAATAATAATAATAATAATAATAATAATAATAATAATAATAATAATAATAATAATAATAATAATAATAATAATAATAATAATAATAATAATAATAATAATAATAATAATAATAATAATAATAATAATAATAATAATAATAATAATGATAATAATGATAATGATAATAATAATAATGATAATAATAATAGTAATAATAATAGTTATAATAATAGTAATAGTAATAGTAATAGTAATAGTAATAGTAATAGTAATAGTAATAGTAATAGTAATAGTAATAGTAATAATAGTAGTAATAACAACACATGGGCGGATCTATGTTGGGGCAGGGGTGGGCTCCAGCCCAGCCCAACTCAATTTATTTTTGTTATTATAGGTATAGGTTTAATTTCAAGCCCACCTCAAAATTAAGGTCTAGCCCAGCCCAAGCCTACCAACTTTGTAATTCAATTTGATTATTAATTGAATTTTTTCAGTAGATAGTAAAATAGTTTTTATTTATTACTTCGTATAAATTTATAATGATTAAAGAGTAGAAAGTGATTTATTTATTATGCAATTCAAGAATAGAGAACGATGTATTTACTGTTTAGGCATGTAAGAATGGATTCAAAATCTCAATTCAATTTTAAAATTGGGAATACTTATTAGTTTTATGTACATCGACTATTTTTTGATAGAACACATACACATGAATACGTGAGCCGAACTTCACTCCAACGGATAGCATCAATATTTATCATGTACATTTATTTGATATTATCCTATTGTACAGCTATGTAGCAGAGTTATCATTAGCTCCGTAGGTATCTCGGTTATTCAACTGATTCGTTGAATAGAAGAGTCCCATGCAGACGTCTTACTCTACCGATAATACTTGTACAACTCCTATATATATTGAAGGGATGCCAAAGGCATCGTCACGGTGAAACTATTCCTTCTAACTTGGTATCAGATTTCTTCGATCCTACTCTCTTTCTCTATGGCTTCACCACAGAAATCTTCCTTTCATCCGGCACTTGCCGTCACTTCCATTAAAAATCTTATTCCTCTTACCCTTGACACCGAGAATGTCCAATACTCGTCCTGGGCGGAGCTTTTCAAACTCACCGCCCGCGCCTACGACGTTCTCGATCATATCCTTCAGGCCAACTCCGCTGCCAGCAGCACCACCCTCACGGCGTCCTCCTCTATCTCCGATGAGGAACGACTTCGCCTTGAGGCTGAGGAAAAGGCCCTTTGGAACCGTATTGATGCTCTCGTCCTTCAGTGGATATATGGTACTATATCTCACGAGCTCTTACACACAATTCTGGAACCAAACTCCACCGCCATGGCCGCCTGGACTCGCCTGGCTGATATATTCCAGGATAACAAAAATTCCAGAGCCCTTCATCTCGAGGACAAATTCTCCAACACTCGTTTGGAGCAATTTCCCTCCATATCGGCTTACTGTCAGGCTCTTCGTACCATTGCTACTCAACTAGCCAACGTCGGGTCTCCGGTCAACGAGAACCGTCTTGTGCTCCGCCTAGTTCATGCCCTGTCTCCGGCATGTGAGACTGTTGCATCTTTCATTCAACAAACAGAACCCTTGCCGTCGTTTGAGAAAGCCCGATCCATGCTGCTCCTGGATGAAACACGTCGTTTGTAAAGGGTTGACAACTTTCTATTCTTAGCACTCTAGCTATAGCATTCTTACTCGCAGCACTTCTACTGCCTTGTAAGACGATCGACCGACGAGCCTTAGTGAGAAGTATTGTATTAGGGAGTTATTAAGAGATAATAATACCTAATCACTTACTTGCTGCTTACTGTTCTCCTTGATCCATATTACTTGCTAGTTGGGCTAGATATTCATACACACTCCACTCGAAATCTGTGGGCTTACATGTTGGACCCGAGGGTTGAAGGAATAAACCTCAACATAATGTTTTGGGAATTTTTTTTATACAATATTGTTTTGGCAGTGTAAAAAACGGTCAAATAGCCATTTACTATGAAAGTAGATATTATAGCAGAGTGGGTGAGGGATGGAACTTAAAAGAGTTCCATGACTAGTTTCTAGTGACTCATCATCTATAGTCAAGTCGTTTTCCATGAATATTACAGAATTAAATCCAAAAGATAAATAATGACTTATTTTAAAATTTTCCGAAGAATGACATATCCAGTACATGACTAGTTTC